AAGTGCGGCTAGCATATGCAACCGGTCGTCCGTCATGATTACATAAAACGGAGCCTATAGCAAAACCAGACGCGTCAGTTTTTAAAATAAAATTTTGGTCAAAATTTGGGTACTGAAGTATGGGAGGAGTCGTTAAAGCATTTTTAAGCGTTGAAAAAGATAGTTTACAGTTTTTATTCCAATGAAATTTAACATTTTTGCGACATAAATTGTTTAGAGGTAAAACGATTTCAGAAAATTTTGGTATAAATCTTCGATAGTAATTCGCAAACGCTACTAGTCTTTTTACATCGTTGGTATTTTGAGGAATTGGGTAATTTTGTAATACTGATATCTTTTTTGGGTCAGGCTTAATACCTTCGGAAGAAACAATGTGGCCAAGATAAAGAAGTTCTTTTTTTTTAGAAAAACACATTTTTTCGGGTTTAACTTTAAGTTTACTTTTCTTAAGCGTGATAATATTTCTATTAAATTTTTATTATGATTATCTAAGTTTCTGCCAAAACAAATGAGGTCGTCTAAATAAGTGAGCGCTTTTTCGTAATTTAACCCAGCCATGGATATTGTAATAGCACGAGAAAAGGAACTTGGGCTTGTCTTTAAGCCCATTGGCATTCTGGTCATCTGATATTGACCAGAGGGTGTAGTGAAAGCCGTATACCTTCTACTAGATGGATTAAGGCTTAATTGGTAAAAAGCTTGATTGAGATCAAGGTGGGTAAAATACATTGCTCCTGATAAGGAATCTAATATGTCTGTAATATTGGGTAACGGAAATTTGTCATCTACAATACAGTTGTTTAATTTTCGAAAATCGATAACCAAGCGCCAGCTCCTGTCCTCACCATTTTCTGGCTTTTTGGGTACAAGAAGCACAGGACTTGACCACTCACTGCAAGCTGGTTCAATAATTCCGTCTTGTAACATATTTTTGACTTGTGTTTCTATTTCGTTCCTCTGAGAATAGGGTAATCGATACTGTTTTACATACACTGGGTCAATATTAGGTTTTAACTGAATATTATGTTCATATAACTTACAAGTTGTTAATTGATCTCCTGGCAATAAAAATATGTCGGAAAATTTTGCACAAATATGTATAATAGAAGATTTTTCCTCTTTATTTAAATGATCCAAATTTAATAAATTTAACATTTTATGAACGCGTTCGGGATCAATGAGACTTTTATCAAACTTACAAATTGAATAATTATGTAAACTATCGGTTTCAGGTCTAAAATAACTAAGATTGACCGGATCCTCTCGTGTATTTAATATTTTTATTGGTATCTTCCCGTTATTCGCTTTGACAATTCCACCAGACAGAAATACTCCCTCGCATAACTCTTTCGGAAAGACAACACAATCTTCTATCATACTCGCATTGATATAAAATAAATTCTCGCATCTCGGAGGTATACTCAAATAATTATTATTTCCCAAAATACCCATATGCAATGGCAAAGTTACTAATTCATTCATATTATGCAGTGTAATAGTATTCAATTCAAAGTTTATGTTACAATTAAATTTACGTAAAAAATCTATACCTAAAATTCCAGAAGTTTCACACGGCAACTGCTTTATAACATGAAACTTATTATTAAATTTCAGCCCGTCAACAGACAATGTTAAATCAACAAATCCCACGGTTCGTAATTTGCCTCCAATTCCGTTTATTGTAATCGGTTTCTTTTGTAATGAAATGTTTAGTTTACTAAGCGTGTCATATTTAATCACACATAAAGAAGCGCCGGTATCTACGAGCCATCTACATTTGATACCATCTATTGCTAACTCAACACAATTACTATATTCGCAACTAAATATATTATTGGTCTCGAAAAAATTCTAGGTTATTTTCACTATTATCGTTATTAGGGTTAATTTCAATATTTTGAGAACTTTGCGATACGCGATATTCTGGTGTTATAAAATGAACTCGCTGGGCATTTTGACCACGAAAAGATCCGCGATTCTGGTATGAGTACTCACCATAATTACCTTTTTTCCCGCGGTGTTGTTGATTTCCACACGAAAACTTTTGGGGTACCGGTTTCCTCCAATTCACATTATTTTTTGCTTGGGTATGCCAAGGATATGTTTGTCGTGGTACATTATTGGATGTATACCTACCACGAAAATTTTTACGCGTTCCTGAACCACCTCGATTTCCGAAATAAATCGATGGTTCGGTGTACTCGCTAGGTCGAACACTAGATGTCTCCTCATCCTTTGCAGCTCTAATTGTTTCTTTTAACGTACTATAATTGCGTGCTGACAAAATAATACTGAGTTGTCGGTTTCGCAAGCCATTTGTGAAACTTTTAATAGCGATCTTTTCATTTATAGGACGTAAAATTTTATGCGCGTTTTGGTCACCATCGGCTTGGGAAATCGTCAAATCTACGAATAATTGTTCGATTTTATTGCCATAATTATCTAGGGAACTACTATTTTGTCTTATTTGCATTAGTTCGTTATGAATGGAAGTGTAAGATTTCTTTGTTCAAAGGTGGTTCCGCATATCACTTATAAGCGCCTCGCATGAGTCATAGGAATCTAATAGGCGTAACTTAGCACCTTCATTCAAACGAGTCTTTAACACAAATTTTATTAACATAGACTTACCTTCTTCTTTAAGCGAAGAGCTATATAACTCTATCGAGTCCATCAAGGTTTTGGTGACCGATTCCTCGCCCGTCATCACTGGCAGGAGTGACACAGCAGTTTTAAAGTCGAAACTTTCCATGGTGAATATTTCGCTTTGAATAGTGCCCTTGGAAGTTGATTGAGAGCTGTAATCCTTACTACAAAAGTTTTCTATTTGTCCATATAAACTCTTAATTAAATCGCAATATGATTGTATTTCAATTAATGCATTACTTTTAATTTGTTTACTTTCTATCTCTTTATTTAAAATTATCAAACAATCATCAAATTCTTTACGTAATTGTACTGATTCCTTAAGTTTTTGTTGCAAAATGCTTTTAGTTCGCTTATCATAACTTAATTTAACTAAATTATTTTTAATATTTTTAAATTTTTCATATATTATTATTAATTCACTAGACATGGAAGTACAGTTAAAAAGAAATATCGTTGTCAAAATATTTTAAGGTTTAAGGCATACATATAAGGCTATTTTTATTATTTTTTTTTCCCTTTTTTTTTAAACTTAAACTATAACATATTTTTCAATTTAAACCTCATTTTTTCAACTTGACGCTTTCGTTGTCTCCCGGCGGTCCTCATGGCGGCACTCACAGCATACACGGGGTACACGAGGTCCTGGGTCCGGTGATCGCACAAAAGAACGACGCAAATTGTGCATTACCATCTCATTCCGCATCCAGCTTGTATGGCAACTTTTGTATATTTTGTATACACCATAGAGAAGAGCCAAGCCCAAAACTGTGCATATTATAATCAGCACGACGGATATCCCAGACAGGTGGCTTTTAATTTCTTCTACATGTGCAGAATTTGAGCCTCCTGAAGTGTCTTGCGTAATAAATACTTGGTCTTTCTTGACTTCAGAACGACACATTTTTTTTTTTTTAAACCGCGGCCCGCGACCGAACCCAGGCAGACCGCCGATGAACTGGCAGGGTCGCCATGTAGTGTTGGGTGGTTCGGGGAATAAATAAAACGTCCAATAGTCTAGACGGTAGGTTTAATACTAACTCTCTCTTATTCTATCCTACATATATATAAGCACACACTACAACGCTGTGTTGGCGCGACTGGTGTGATGTGGCGGTGTGACTGACGCTATGTGTTGGCGCGACTGGTGTGATGTGGCGGTGTGACTGACGCTATGCGTTGGCGCGACCGGTGCGATGTGGCGGTGAGACTAACGCTGTGTTGGCGCGACTGGTGTGATGTGGCGGTGTGACTGACGCTATGCGTTGGCGCGACCGGTGCGATGTGGCGGTGAGACTAACGCTGTGTTGGCGCGACTGGTGTGATGTGGCGGTGTGACTGACGCTATGCGTTGGCGCGACCGGTGCGATGTGGCGGTGAGACTAACGCTGTGTTGGCGCGACTGGTGTGATGTGGCGGTGTGACTGACGCTATGCGTTGGCGCGACCGGTGCGATGTGGCGGTGAGACTAACGCTGTGTTGGCGCGACTGGTGTGATGTGGCGGTGTGACTGACGCTATGCGTTGGCGCGACCGGTGCGATGTGGCGGTGAGACTAACGCTGTGTTGGCGCGACTGGTGTGATGTGGCGGTGTGACTGACGCTATGCGTTGGCGCGACCGGTGCGATGTGGCGGTGAGACTAACGCTGTGTTGGCGCGACTGGTGTGATGTGGCGGTGTGACTGACGCTATGTGTTGGCGCGATTGGTGTGATGTGGCGGTGTGACTGACGCTATGCGTTGGCGCGACCGGTGCGATGTGGCGGTGAGACTAACGCTGTGTTGGCGCGACTGGTGTGATGTGGCGGTGAGACTAACGCTGTGTTGGCGCGACTGGTGCGATGTGGCGGTGAGACTAACGCTGTGTTGGCGCGACTGGTGTGATGTGGCGGTGTGACTGACGCTATGCGTTGGCGCGACCGGTGCGATGTGGCGGTGAGACTAACGCTGTGTTGGCGCGACTGGTGTGATGTGGCGGTGAGACTAACGCTGTGTTGGCGCGACTGGTGCGATGTGGCGGTGAGACTAACGCTGTGTTGGCGCGACTGGTGTGATGTGGCGGTGTGACTGACGCTATGCGTTGGCGCGACCGGTGCGATGTGGCGGTGAGACTAACGCTGTGTTGGCGCGACTGGTGTGATGTGGCGGTGTGACTGACGCTATGTGTTGGCGCGACTGGTGTGATGTGGCGGTGTGACTGACGCTATGCGTTGGCGCGACCGGTGCGATGTGGCGGTGAGACTAACGCTGTGTTGGCGCGACTGGTGTGATGTGGCGGTGTGACTGACGCTATGCGTTGGCGCGACCGGTGCGATGTGGTGGTGCGACTGACGCTAAGTGCTGGTGCGGCTGCAGCGGCGCGGCGGCCCGGCTGCAGCCCGCGCTGGCGCTGTACTCGGGCGAGCTGGCGGGCGCCGTGCTGCTGGCCGACAGCGCGCCGCGCTCGCCGCTGCTGCGCCTGGCCGCCGGCTCCACCGAGCACCACTTCGACGACATCAACACGCAGCTGCGCCGCATCGTGGACGCGTTGCGCGACCCGGTACCAACCGCTAACTTCAATAATAATAAAGGCAAAGGCATATACAGGCTGTGGCGTAATGAATGGATAATATGGTACCTGCGGGTAGAGGACGTTATGGCGGTTCAGAAAAATATGTTTCATGTTTAGTAAAAGTCCCTCGGTTTTCGAGATAATTCGACATTTTCGAAAATTCAACAAGATTAATTATATAATTATAATTAAAGACTCATTGTAATAGGAATTTATTTTGTATTAAATGCTGGAAATACAGTGAGTTATACCATTTCGGAATCTCAATGAAACAGGCATATTTTTTCTTCATTTGGCACTCAGGTAACCAATTTTTTTTTTACACCACGTTAGGTTAAACTTAGGATAAAAAATAAGCAAATCATGAAAGGACAATGTCCAAAACCGCCCTGTGTAATAAAAGTATTGGACATACACGATAATTAATTTTCTATTTTATTATATTAGTTGAAAATACTTTTATAACACGGACTAGCTGCATTCAAAAATGAACATTAAAAGTATTATATTCGACTAATAACATTAATCGCCGCCATCTTCGCCAAACATCATGTGGTGTCGAAAAATGATTAGGGATGCCCAATCGATTGTAATCGATTATTGAATTTTTAATGAACTGTTGTATATTTTTTAATCTGAATTACATTTTAATTTATTTCTAATAAAGTTGCTAAAAGAAGCTACAATAAAAATATTATATTACCATTTCTTTATATTCTTTTATATTATTCCCTACAAGTATAATTTTAAAAACCTACTATACCTATTGAATGTCATACTCAATTTTGAATAGGTAGTTAAAATATTGCTGAAGAAAAATATTCGTAAAGATAATTATTCAGGATTTTCTAATGATCGTTTAGACAGGAGTATATTTTACGTCTTACTAAACGATAACTTACGAGTTTACGACAATTAATTTAAAAAAAAAAAACTGTTATCGTTACTGCATTAATTATAAATGTGTTTTTTTTTTAAAGAGCAATATTGCAGACTAGATACAGATATTATTATTAATATTGTTACAAGTATGGAAGAAGTAGAGACGTACGTGTTATTATAAGTAAAGTAGGACATTGTTATGGTATTAATATTATTGTATGACAAAAGATGATATATACTATATAGATGGTATACTGTTTGTAACGTACGGCTATAATAAATCTTAGGAAATATTCATAAGTCGTATCGTATTTGGCGCTCCTATTTTTGATGTCACTAAATGGTCACTTGTCAGTCTCTCATGAAAAAAATACGATCCAAATCGATGCAAATCGAACATACTAGAATCGATTCTCGATTAAATCAAGCATTAACAGATCTATTTTTGATAATTCGCGATATTTTCAAACATGCCTAATATAGACATAGAACATTATTGACGATAACTTACCGTGAATACAAGTAACTGAATAAAAAAATCATTAAATTAATAAACATAACATTACGCCAGTATTTTCCAGAAGGAGTAGGTAGAGGTGTGTAAGTACTGTTATGTTATACATCCCATGTAATAGGGGATGCGCGTATTGCCAAACACCGGACACAAATCCAGACTCCGTGCTACTACTGGGAGTTATAAAAACCCAATAATAATTTGCCCGACCCTGGGATCGAACCCAGAACAGAACAGTTTTTCTGTCTGTTACAAGGAACAGATGTTCCAACTATGCAAAAGTATTTCTTGAATCGTTTGAAATATAGCTAGTTCTTGAATAAGTCCGATTCGAGAGGTTTCTGTATCGACAGCGGACAAGGATTCTTCAGATCTAAATCGATCTGGAAAATCGATTCTAATACTATAAACAATCGATTAAACGATTTCAAATGGACATGCCTACTTTATACCGTCATCTCTAATTCTGTCAAAGTTACATTGGTTGGCGTCGTTTACAAATGTAATTGTCTTTGTACATAATTGTATCGGTGTTGTGGTGACTTTCGGGACTATATATTGAACATTACGACTTGGCTATTTTAACGGACTCTGATTGCTTTCAAGAACGACTTCCTTGCTGTGATTTTTGGAACTGTGTACCACTCAAACGATAACCTAGCATTCATAAACGGACTTACGCATACGCAATGGAAAGTGTATTTTGTGTAAATAGCGGCTCTGCTGGTGGTACAATATTGTTTAAAGATGAACAGAGAAGCAATCGTGCAATCTTGCTGTAATTGCATCGTTGTACGCAGAACCATCGGTTGCTGCGCCCATGTTATGACCATTATTTGATACTTGAGCTTTACGAGACATCAAAATAATATTCTTATTTCCAATTTAGAAAATGAACAATAAACATGAAATTAATCTGTGTTTTATTTCTAATTCAAACATAATAAGTTAATAATGTACGTGTAAAAACAACTTATACTACCAATTATGTACTAAGTCGGTAGGGCTGGTTTCATAGTCACGCGTTTGAACACCGCTGTCCAGACGCACACGCTTGCAAATGTACTAGATAGTAGTAGTCTATAATATTCACGCTGTTCATGCGCGCGCTGTTGAAACTTGGTTGAAAAGTCAGAAAGTCGGGCAAAGTCAGAGCACATAGGCAGAAATGGCGAGAGACTAGTTCGCCTTCCTTCGGGAACCCGTGCATTCTGGTCTCTCGCCAAGGCTGTCCAAGGGAATTTCTGTAAGCCATCACTACCATCTCTGCACAGGGCGGATGACTCACTGGCCCATGACGCAAAAGACAAAGCCGACCTTTTAGGCTCCCTTTTTGCGTCCAACTCGACTCTTGATGACGGGGGGAAAACACCGCCGACCATCCCGCGGTGTGAGTGCTCCATGCCGGATGTGCTGTTCTCACAGCGCTCGGTTCGCAAAGCACTGCTCTCCCTGGACATCCAGAAGTCGAGTGGGCCTGACGGAATCCCCCCAATTGTGCTGAGGACGTGTGCTCCGGAGTTGGCACCGGTCCTAACGCGTCTTTTCCGGTACTCCTACTCCCAAGGCGTAGTCCCGAATTCATGGAAGACAGCTTTTGTCCACCCGATCCCTAAAAAAGGCGACCGCTCAGACCCGTCCAACTATAGGCCTATCGCGATCACCTCCTTGTTCTCCAAAATAATGGAATCCATTATTAACTGCCAGCTCATCCGGTACCTTGAGGATCACCAGCTGATTAGTGACCGCCAATACGGTTTTCGTCGGTGTCGATCAGCTGGTGATCTTCTTGTCTACCTGACCCATAGATGGGCGGAGGCAGTAGAGTCCAAGGGGGAGGCGTTGGCCGTTAGTCTGGACATTGCGAAGGCCTTTGATCGGGTTTGGCACAAAGCGCTTCTTTCAAAGCTGCCTTCCTATGGGCTTCCCGAGAAATTGTGCAATTGGATCACCAGCTTTCTTGCAGATCGGAGCATCAAGGTCGTTGTAGACGGTGCATGTTCTGACTACAAGCCTATTAACGCTGGTGTTCCACAAGGCTGTGTGCTATCACCAACGCTGTTTCTTCTGCATATCAATGATATGTTGCTAACTGGTAACATTCATTGCTATGCGGATGACAGCACTGGTGATGCTCTATACACCGGCCGGGCCAATATTTCTCGGGAAAACGTCGCCGAGTACCGGAACAAACTTGTGTCTGAAGTCGAGTCTTTGCTGGACAAAGTCTCGGATTGGGGGCGACTAAATCTAGTCCAGTTTAATCCTCAGAAGACACAAGTTTGCGCGTTTACCGCTAAAAAGAACCCCTTTGTCGTATCTCCTCAGTTTCAAGGCACTCCCCTTCTTGCCTCAGCCAGTATCGGTATCCTCGGAGTCGACATATCGAGTGACGTGCAGTTTCGTGGTCACTTGGAAGAGAAGGCCAAATTGGCCTCTAAAAAGCTTGGCGTGCTCAGCAGAGCGGGACAGTATTTCATGCCGGCACACCGCCTGCAACTTTACAAGGCGCAGGTTCGGCCTCACATGGAATACTGTTCCCATCTCTGGGCAGGGGCTCCCCAGTGCCAGCTCCTTCCACTTGACCGCATCCAGCGCAGAGCGGCTCGAATCGTCGACGACCGAGCCCTTTCCGATCGGCTCGATTCATTGGCACTGCGAAGAGATGTTGCATCTCTTTGCATTTTCTTTCGCATCTACCATGGGGAGTGCTCTGAGGAATTGTTCGGATTAATCCCAGCCGCCAAATTTCACGAACGCACATCGCGGCAGAACTCCCGATACCATCCACACCATCTGGATGATTGGCGGTCCACCACTGTGCGATTTAGAAGATGTTTTCTTCCTCGCACAACTTCCTTGTGGAATAGTTTACCACCAGGGATTTTTCCGGACCGATACGACTTAGGGACCTTCAAGAAAAGAGCCTACTCCTTTTTAAAAGGCCGGCAACGCATCTGCAATTCCCCTGGTGTTGCGGTTGTTCATGGGCGGCGGTAGTCACTTACCATCAGGTGAGCCGCATGCTCGTTTGCCCCCTCTCATATAAAAAAAAAAAAAAAACCGTGGTTGATACACTCGCTGTTCGACGGCATGTCTAGCGGCGTGACTGACAGCCTAAATCCTACATTTAGGTACTAGGTATCTCACCGTACCGTATATGCTAATGACAACATCTAAATGCTAAGAGCCATTATATAAATATATTTTTATTTTTACATTAATACACACAAACATTATCTCTCATTTCAAAACCAATGCTCAGAAAGCAGGTTTGTTAACTACATTCTATGTATTTATACGTTGCACTTACATACACTTAGGCTTTAGAACAAAAATTGCATACCTAATTATGTAGATAGGTACTAGAAATAGCTAAATGTTTTAGGACATCGTTTTTCAGTTTGTTAAAAATCACTCGGATCAATGAAAAACCGTAATATTCGTGGTTCGATTATAACCTCAAAATCTGATACTTTTTTTGAAATATATCTATTATGCAGCTAGTCCGCTATAAAAATAAGATCAAATAGGAATTTACTAATGATCAACAATAAAATAGATAATTTTCCGATGCTCTTGGTTCCAGGGCGAACAATGTATGGGCGCAGAGCAATGTCCTTTGAGTTAGATCTTTGTTTAGAGAAAAGCTATGCTTGCGCCCTTAAAATCATAACTTACATAGCGCTTGTATCCAGGAATACCATCCAAAAAACAAATTGAAAGAATACCTTCATTTGAAGTCTTGCCACGAAAAAGAGTGGAAAAGGCTGTAATTTTTTTGAATTTTCGAAAATTTCGAATTATCTCGAAAACCGAGGGACTTTTACTAATCATGAAACATATTTTTCTGAACCGTCACAACGTCCTCTACCCGCAGGTACCATATTATCCATTCATTACGCCACATCCTATATACCCATACAGCCTAATCTGACGTGTATTTTCTACAAAAATTCTTCATTTAATATCAGCACATTGTAAAGAATTTCCGTCATATTGCGAAAGGAGAATGTCAGATTTTCTATAGAACTTTGCCCCACCCAAAAGTGTGGATGTACACGAATGCCGTATTCAACCCATATTAATTTCTAATTTATTACTTCATCCAAATTATATAACGAGGTCTCTAAAACTTGCGATTTTTTTTAAACTGGACTTTAATAATTACATTTACCTTATTTTTATTTTTTTATTTGTTTTATTATAAACTGCCAGCTCATGAGGTACCTTGAGGATCACCAGCTGATTAATGACCGCCAGTACGGTTTTCGTCGGGGTCGATCAGCTGGTGATCTTCTGGTCTACCAGACTCATAGATGGGCGGAGGCAGTAAAGTCCAAGGGCCTCCCCCTTGGACTCTACTGCCGACTCTAATTGGTCGTTAGTTTGAACATAGCGAAGGCCTTCGTTCGGGTCCGGCACAAAGCGCTTCTTTCGAAGCTTCCTTCCTATGGGCAGTTTCCTTGCTGAGCATCAAGGTCGTAGTAGACGGTGCATGCTCTGATTTCAAGCCTATCAACGCTGGTGTTCCACAAGGCTGCGTGCTATCACCAACGCTGTTTCTCCTGCATATCAATGATATGTTGCTAACTAGTAGCATTCATTGCTATGCAGACGACAGCACTGGTGATGCCTTATATACCGGTCGTGCCAATATTTCTCGGGAAAACGTCGCCGAGTACGGGGACAAACTTGTGTCTGAAGGCGAGTCTTTGCTGATCAAAGTCTCGGATTGAGGGCGACTAAATCTAGTCCAGTTCAATCCCCAGAAGACACATGTTTGCGCGTTTACCGCTAAAAGGAACCCCTTTGTCGTATCTCCTCAGTTTCAAGGCACTCCCCTTGCTGCCTCAGCTAGCATCGGCAATATATCGAAGCGTCGACATATCGAATAATGTGCAGTTTCGTGGTCACTTGGAAGGGAAGGCCAAACTGGCCTCTAAAAAGCTTGGCGTGCTCAGCAGAGTGAGACAGTATTTCATGCCGGCACATCGCTTGCAACTTTACAAAGCGCAAATCTCATGGAATACTGTTCTCATATCTAGGCCGGGGCACCCCAGTGCCAGCTCCTTCTACTTGACCGCATCCAGCGCAGAGCGGTTCGAATCGTCGACGACCGAGTTCTTTCTGGTCGAATCGATACACTGGCACTTCGCGGAGATGTCGCATCTCTTTGCGTATTTTATCGCATTTACCACGGGGAGTGCTCTGAGGAATTGTTCGGACTAATTCCAGCCGCTCAATTTCACCATACCATCCATATCACCTGGATGATTGGCGGTCTACCACTGTGCGATTTAGAAGATGTTTTCTTCCTCGCACAACTCCCTTGTGAAATCGATTACCAGCAGCGATTTTTCCGGACCGATACGACTTAGGGACCTTCAAGAAAAGAGCCTACTCCTTTTTAAAAGGCCGTCAACGCATCTGCAATTCCCCTGGTGTTGCGGTTGTTCATGGGCGGCGGTAGTCACTTACCATCAGGTGAGCCGCATGCTCGTTTGCCCCCTCTCCTATAAAAAAAAAAATTCTTAGAACAGTATTCGTTGCAGTTCATTGTAATTTCAGAATATAAATTATCAGGCATTAAATATTTATATACATAATTTAAGAAGCATAATAATATAATGATTAGTAACATTGGAAAAACGATTATCTTGTGTAGGATCTAAAAGGTCCTTACACAATATAAGACTAGTACCACCTGTTTTTCATAAAATCTAAGTCCTAGTCATGTAAACGAGTTATATTATTTACAAAATTATTTTTCAAGATACATATTATAATGACATGTGTCGGAAGAAGATGTAAATATTTACAGATTAGTATCTAATTTTACGACAACGGCAGGACGATAAATTATCAACTATATAAAAAAAGCTATAAAACTAAATATATATGTTGCAAAGATATCCATGTTGAAAGAAGAGTTAAGAATGTAAATCGAAATGAGGACACAAAATGCCCCTGCATCCTATCGACGCAAAGATGACAATTAGTGCACCTCAACATCATGGATGCAATTATCAGAATGTCCGTAGTAGTTAGCAGTAAGTCAATAAGTAGGCGTGATGGAGTCCGTATATATATTTTTTTACTTACTATAAGCCAGTGCTTTACCACAATCCCACCTGGTGATAAGTTGTGATGTGTAGCCTTAGATGGAAAATCGCACTGTCTTATCGTAACAATGGTCTGGTCTCTGAGAGCGTGGCCCTACCCCGGTCGAGCCGAACCGTTTGTGCTACAACAAACAAACATCGCGGCAGAACTCCCGATACCATCCACACCATCTGGATGATTGGCGGTCCACCACTGTGCGATTTAGAAGATGTTTTCTTCCTCGCACGACCTCCTTGTGGAATCGATTACCATCAGCGATTTTTCCGGACCGATACGACTTAGGGACCTTCAAGAAAAGAGCGTACTCCTTTTTAAAAGGCCGGCAACGCATCTGCGATTCCCCTGGTGTTGCAGTTGTTCATGGGCGGCGGTAGTCACTTACCATCAGGTGAGCCGCATGCTCGTTTGCCCCCTCTCCTATAAAAAAAAAACCATAATATAGCTACAGCATGGCTCTACCACGAAATGTTCAGGCGGAGCGTCGTAACTTGGAGCGCGCCCAGCAAGAGGCTGGCAGTGGCAACGGTGGCAGTAACAACTCACGCTCACGACGTGCTCTACGCACTGGCGACGTGTACATCACCACGCATAGCAACCTGGACGTGCATGTCGTGTTCCATCTTGTGGTCGACGACTCGCTCAAGTCCGGTCAGTGCAGTGCTCATCTTGTTCTTTCTTCTTAATTTCACATCACTGCATGTTTGTTTTATAATATTGACGTGTCCAGCGAACTAACACTTCATCATCATCATTCTTCTCTTTCACAAATTCACTGCTGAACATAGGCCTCCCCCACGAAATATAACAGTTAATGAGAATTAATTACGGCTGTACATGGATTGCAACCAACTTAAAACTTTTGAAGTTCACGGGTGGGTTATCATTTAGATTTCTTATCAAGGTTAGATGTTCTTCTTCTTCTACGACAGCCTGTAGAACTCCACTCCGCTATTTTTTTTTTAAATTTAAAACTGAAGTATTTTTTTTCCTTTAAAATATTTCTTCTAATAATCTCCTTATTTAAAAATGGCCGGCCTATTGTCACTTCGGCTTCCTTATTCTTTGGACTATGTCGGTTACTTTGATTCTACTACTGATATCCTTATTACGAAGTCTATCGCGCAGAGAAACTTCATATCTCGATGAGCTAGCTGCCTTGAGCTGCCTCATGTGGTCAACAGTAAATGACCGTCTAAATGTCATCACTGGCAAAAGTGATTGTACACTCTTGTTTTCAAGTTTTGAGGTATACGTGACGAGAAGATTTGTCATAACCTCCCGGACACTGCCTAGGCTAGTTGAATCCGGAGGTTGGTCTCTCGAAGATAGATTTATAGAGAAATGCCTACGCATACCCGCCTCGTGAGGTCAAGGACGGGCCCACACCAACTAAAACCCTATGGTGTTCCACCTTAGCCGCATATTGGCAGAACCACTGGAACAACACATCCGCGGCCCCACCAGCGCCGGCCGGCCCATGGCAGCCTCCTCAAACAGGAAACAGGCCTTCTTCTCCCCCTTCTTCTATGGTAAGGCCCACCAGGAACACAAAGCTCTAGATTCACCTGCTCAACAGAACTCCGGTACGGTTTGGTGGGAGAGACGGGTGCCTCTTGCCGCAGCCCACCAACACACATACGAAGTGGACTCGCCAAGCCCACTTGGGCCAGCCATGTGTATTCCTCTTAGTTCACCAAGGATGTCCAAGCTAGTACTACTAAACGCCCCGCCGGACTAAGCGAGAACCCGTCCGGGGAGGGGGAGTTGGACTTACTTTGTCGAAGTTTGACAACATTACTAGTAAAAATGTATATCGCAGGCGACATAACGTCTCGCCACCCGGCCATCCTCGGTCTACGCAACATTCTGAAGGCGGCGTGCTGCAACGACGTGACCTCCATATCCATACCGCTACTGCTCCGGCATGAAATCACCGAGGTGAATTTATTTTTACGTCTATTAACCTTTGTCTCAATTTTTTTCTTATTTAATTTTCGATTGCGTCTAGATATCGTTATATTGTAATCGGGCCTTATTATAGTCTTCACTGTGTAGTGGCAGTGTATCCACTAGCCCATATCGTCCCGTAGGTATCGTAAAGGCGACAGAGAGAAAGTGAAACAGTAAATGGGCAGTAGCATTTTCTTGATAACAACTAAAAATTTAAAAAACTGCGGTTGCCAACCCGCCTGCCAGGCGTGGCAACTATGGCAAAACCCCCTCTTTGCGGCAATCTGTGAGGGAGGCCTATGTTTAGCAGTGGGCTTTTATGGGCTGTAATGGATGGAATGGATTACAATGGTTTTCGGAAATTCATTACATATATTATTTAAGAAGTTAATTTGCTAAGATTCATATGTATAATTCAAAATTAAAAATGTTGTACAGCCGACTTCAATATAAGTTATTAAGAATAACTCAAAAACTATTGGTCTGACCTTGATCATATGGGACCACACGAGATGTACCAGCTTTCATATAAAAAAAAGAATCATCGAAATCGGTTCACCCAGTAAAAAGTTATGAGGTAACACACATAAAAAAAAAACAAAAAAAATACTGTCGAATTGAGTACTGTCTCCTTTTTCGAAGTCGGCAGAAAAGAAGATAAAATCATAATGAGTTATTATGATTTTTTGTTAATAACGCTAACATGGCAAACGAGATAATCCACCTGATGGTAAGTGGCTATTACGGCCCATCGACACAAAACCAACTACTAAGAAAATTATTACTCTGTCAACCCTGAGGTTTAAGATAAGTTGTCTCGCGGTTTTGGCGGGAAATTGACCGGCGGCGGTTTGCTGCTCCTGTATTATAGTTTAAATAATAGTTTGAAGTGGATTTTGATATGTAAAAGTGGTGCGATTTTATGTATTAACTGTCTACGCATGTGAACTATTAGTGGAAACGGTGAAACAAGTGCTCTGATGGTGATGGATTCTCAAGATAAGCTGTTTGTCTGCATAGGCGCCTTTAGATACCATCGCCAACTGTCAGCTGTCTGCTGGCTCAAGTTGCCGTCAAAATCTCCCAAGGGCTGCACAATGTGACGCATCAACATATTGTGAAGCAGTGAACTATGAAAGATAATTATACATTTGGGAAATTATAATAAACCGAATAAAAATACTCAAGACTTGGCCTAAAGGTCTAGATACCAGGCCATAAACTCCAAAAAAAAATAAGTTGTCTCGCAACCTATTATTATTATTTTTATTCTCTATGCCGTTGGACCGGAACAACAGAGTCAAATCGGGAAGATGATGATACGTTTCAGTTGCAACCCTAAGCAGAAAATACGCCCGATTATCTTCTAAAGTTGTGGGAGGGAGTGAATAAAATAGATAGATAAATAACGATATTTGATATTTTGCGTGTGATTCTAAATAAATTTACTTATTTATAATCTTAAGAGGATTTCAAGCGGCAACACAATTAAAGAATAAGGTATTAAAAGATCTATTGCAGCTGCGCTGAGTCCAAACGACTGAGCAACCGAGAGACATCTGTATCTCTGATTTTTTAATAAAATAATTATTAATAAAATCTTAAGTATTTTAATGTAAATAAATTACGACGTAAATCAACAAACCCCATAAAAAAATAGATACGGTTTGGTAAAAAAATTATAATGGAGCAGAATTCACAGAATTCTTTGGGTATTTTGTGACATATTCAAAGCTTTCGATCGTGTTAACTGTGAGAAAATCATCAGAAAATTACAATATTATAGTGGAAGAAGTGTTGATTTTTATTATTTCATATTTAAGTAACAGAACTCAAAAAGTTGTTAACGATAGTTAGTTTCTAGTATTTGCTGCCCGGAAAGTACACTCAATTTTACTATTGGCCCGGAAGTTCCGAGTAGGTACCTACATAGTAAAAGTGGGTGTTCTTCAAGACTTCATTCTTAGCCTCTTTCTTTTTCTTATCTATGTTTCTGGTACAATTGTTTATTCCCCTCCTTAGCCTGACAAATTATAGAAATCTTTCCTAGAACAGGAGCCTCTCCCTATGACTGTAAGTATTTTTTTTATAGGAGAGGGAGCAAACGAGCATGCGGCTCACCTGATAGTAAGTGACTACCGCCGCCCATGAACAACTGCAACATCAGGGGAACCAGGGGAATTGCAGATGCGTTGCCGGCCTTTTATAAAGTAGTAGGCTCTTTTCTTGAAGGTCCCTAAGTCCTATCAGTCTGGAAAAATCGCTGATGGTAATCGATTCCACAAGGAAGTTGTGCGAGGAAGAAAAGATCTTCTAAATCGCACAGTGGTGGACCACCAATCATCCAGATGGTGTGGATGGTATAGGGAGTTCTGCCGCGATGTGCGTTCGTGAAATTTGGCGGCTGGGATTAATCCGAACAATTCCTCAGAGCACTCCCCGTGGTAAATGCGAAAGAAAATGCAAAGGGAAGCAACATCTCTTCGCAGTGCCAATGAATCGAGCCGATCGGAAAGGACTCGGTCGTCTACGATTCGAACCGCTCTGCGCTGGATGCGGTCAAGTGGAAGGAACTGGCACTGGAGAGCCCCTGCCCAGAGATGGGAACAGTATTCCATGTGAGGCCGAACCTGCGCCTTGTAAAGTTGCAGGCGATGTGCCGGCATGAAATACTGTCCCGCTCTGCTGAGCACGCCAAGCTTTTTAGAGGCCAATTTGCCCTTCTCTTCCAAGAGACCACGAAACTACACGTCACTCGATATGTCAACTCCGAGGATGCCGATACTGGCTGAGGCAAGAAGGGGAGTGCCTTGAAACTGAGGAGATACGACAAAGGGGTTCTTTTTAGCGGTAAACGCGCAAACTTGTGTCTTCTGAGGATTAAACTGGACTAGATTTAGTCGCCCCCAATCCGAGACTTTGTTCACCAAAGACTCGACTTCAGACACAAGTTTGTTCCGGTACTCGGCGACGTTTTCCCGAGTAATATTGGCACGGCCGGTGTATAGATCATCACCAGTGCTTAGGCCAAATAATTAACATTTTAAAACTCGCGTTGAAGACACGCGTTAGCGTGTCCTTCCGATGGAATTTAAAGGTCACCGTCGGCCCCCTCTCCCGTGCGGGTCTCTCGGCCGAGCGCTCGGTCGCTCGACGCGTGGGCGAAGTTAATATTGTTAGCGACCGTTAGTTGGTTGGGCGCGGCGGGTGTGGTTAATTGTGCGCGCACGCCGAGTCGATAAGACGGCCTGGAATTTTACTTCCTTTGGTTTTGAGTTGGGCGCGGCTGTAGTGTCGATGTTTTGGAAGTTACTCTCGTATAGTTTGGTCGCGTGACGACTGCCTCTAATTGATTTGACCGACCGTTCTTATGAATTTGAAGTTAATTAAATGTACAATAAAGTTGATAAACTAATATAGTGAAATAAAAGCAGAAGGTTTCAATTGGTGAACGCCCACTGGAGGGATCGCACATTTTGGAGAATAGCAGCGCCTGTGGATCTGCTGTCCGACTACACCGGTTAAGTTGGGTTACATCTACACACTTTCACAAACTACTTACATACAACTCACTTACCACCAGACTGGTACCCTGTGGTCAACCCTACCTCCGGAAGTCGGTAAGTTGTGCTTGCTTATTAGCCACTAGTTGGGAATATCCATAGGCCATTTGGGCCCGAACCCTCTGTTGCTCGTCGAGTGGGCTACTATGGGCCCTAGCCCAGTCGACCTTTGCCGGGGCAACTGGGGGCCGTAACATTTTCTGGTAGCAGAGCGTGGTATATTGTCTCTGCAATCACGCCCGGCCGTAATAGGAAAAAATAGATATTTTTTGTGTTTTGTTAGCGGATCGGTGGGTAGAATTAGGAACCACGCCCGTTAGGTTGCGCAAGCGGGATTGTAGTTTAGGGTTTAGGTACCCACGCGTCAGGTATTTCGGGTAGGTAGATAATTATCGTTATCACATAATTGTATAATTATCGTTATCTTATAATTATAGTAGATATTAATTGCCGAAGGGTCGATCGCCTGAGCGAGGCATCTTTGCTGACCGACTGTAGTGTGTACTTGCCGTGTAGTGTAATTTGTATTTAATTTAATAAATAGTAATTTGTATTTGTAGTGTAATTTGTATTGAATTTAATTTGATAGTAATTTGTATTTAGTAGTGATGCCATCGTACAAGCTACCGGCGCTTCGCTTGCAGGTGGAGCTGCGCTGGGCCGCGAACGCCCATAATTTGGTAGGGCGACCCGATCGGGTCCATAGTTTAGGGAAGCGGCTCGTGCAGGTCGATGCCCGAAGGGCCGTAGTGGAGGAGGCTTACACAGAGCTTGTGGCCTCGGATGCGGAACAGGGAGTCCTAAACTCCTGCCTCGCGGACTACGAGCAATTCTTTTCGTTCACGGACGACTTGATCGAGGCGGGGGCCAAGTATGCTAATGAAGCGCGTAAAGCTCGGCTAAGTGGCCTGCCCGAGTCCCCTAGGAAGCAGCCTACTCAGTCGGAGCTGTTGGGACGACTCCCAACTCTGGACCTGCCAAGGTTCTCCGGGGTCCTCTCCGACTGGATGACCTTTGTTGGCCTTTTTGATAGCCTAGTGGACGCCCGGAGGGACTTGACACCAAACCAGAAGATGGCGTACCTCCTAGCCTCACTGGAGGGGGAAGCCCTGTGCGTCGTCGGCCATTTGAGATTGTCGGACGACGCCTACCCGACTGCCCGGGACCTCCTCGCCGAAATATACGCCAACGTCCGGCGAATCGCGGACGAATACGTTAGGCAGCTTATAAACCTCCCGCTGCTTAGGGACCGGACCAGACTACGTCCGGACTTCGTGAATCCAGCCTTGGTGGCCTGTAATGCGTTGAGGCGGCTGGATTTACCGGTGGACGAATGGTCCTTCTTGTTGTTCCACATCGTGCTGTCCCGCCTGCCTCTCGACCTTCGGATACATTTTGAGGAGAGGTACGGCGGGGACGACGCCT